ATCAGGAGGGCTGGATCTTCTTCAGTCAGCTTGGCGAATTTCAAAAAATGCTTAAATCAATCCGTAAAAATGTCCAATTGCATCCACCCCTACGAATGACAAGCAAATCCTGTACCCGGCGGTGCACCATCTTGTAGTTCCACCTTCATTCTCTTTCGAGGAAAAATAATAAAAGAGGAAATATAATTTCCACCAGCAGCCATACAAATCACGAAGGTGCCTCTATAGCACCCACCTGCTTCTTTCCCTTTTGTGCAAGTAATTTAGAGCTTTTGCTCTGCACTGTGGTAAAGCCAGACTCAAAAATACGATGAGGATCCACCTCTTGGCTTTTCCAGCCATTTGAGTATCTTTATTGAAATTGTTTTATATTATTGCGTTCAGCCAACTGATAGGCCAGTCTCCTTACATCCTGCAAAGTTAATCCATAAAATCGCTTTTCCATTTCTAAAATGTGTTGCACCAATTCTTCTTCTTGCTCTGGACTAAAAATTGGACGGCTAGACCCCAATACTTTTAATATATTCAACAGCTTCTTTGTTTATTCCTTTTACACGTTATTTGAACTTTGAATTCATTGCTAGTCTTAAGGAAGCCCATTTCTTCGTTTCTTACAACTCTTATAGCTTTTTCCATCGCAACCGGGTCAGATATGCGACCCGGCTGCTGCGGCGTCCGTTTATATGTATTTGGCATATCTAAAACAATACAAAATATTATTTATATTCACAGGAAAAATTAGAACTAAGACGGGTAAAGTGACCTACTATGTCACTTTACCTACCTGCAGACTAGGCCACTTTACCCGAAGCGAAGCGCGACGATAAAAAAAGCAACTCAAATTTCAGATGAGGTTATATTGTCGTCCTTTACCGTGAAATAAACAGTTCATTAGAGGGATTAACTGATAAAATATTACATTCATCACATCAGATATCACAAAAACTACCTTTTTTGTCATAAAATCTGTCCGCGTGAACTAATCGCGTCGGTATTTACTGGAGCAGTATGGTGTCGGTCAATTAATAATTTCCATAGGCCATGGACAACTGGCGCTGCTTGGTTGGTTTTTAAAAAGAAGGTGGCTTTACCCGCCTGGGCCACTTTAACGAACCTTCCTCTAAACTTGGGCTTAATCTATGACTTAAGAAGAGTCCCCCACGAAAGAAATTTGTCGAATTCCATACGTCTTAACATTTTTAGTTTTCATATATCCAAAGGGGTCGCCAAGGAGTTGGGGGGGGGGGGGACACAATTTTCTTAATTCAATCGCCATAGAGCTAAGACTCGCAATACAAGTGTAAAACTTCATGTTGTGCTTTTGTACCTACACTTTCCTATCCTCTTTATAACTACACCCCCCCCCCCCTCCTACTTTTTGCCATCTGGCGAAACCCGTGGTACTTTGTTCGCGAAAAAGGTTATAGTTTACACCTTAGATTAAATTTAAACTGTAACGCTGCTGCACGTAATCCTGCTCACATTTCTAAAAGGGTTTTGGAATATGTATGGAGGTAGGTCCTCACAATGTTTTTCCTTTACTGTGAGCGCGCGGTAGATCAGCACTTCGATTGCTATTTACAAATGTTTTAGCGCTGTTGTAGTGGCAGTGTAAGAATATCTACTAGCCCATAATATCATCCCGTGGGTGTCGTGAGAGGCGACAGAGAGAAACAAATCAGGAGATGAGCAGCAGCGTCTTAGTAATAATGACTAAAAATAAAAAATAAAAGTGTGGTTGAACCCGCTTGCCAAGCGTGGCAACTCTGTCAACTATCCTCCATATGAGTGATCTCAGGCAATATATGGGGGATTTTTATAGGCTGTAACGGCTACCGAGCCCTGGTGGGGATTTAAATGAAAATATGTCATAGCAAAAGTAATTATTAAAAAGATAGGTAATAATTAAATTGTGCACGTCAGCGTTATGGAAAATTCCAAAAAGAATTTTATTCATATCCTTCCAAAATATCAGAAAAAACATTTCATAGCCACATAGCAACACTTTGCTTATCGGTACGAGGATGCCATTCGAGAACAACTGGTTCAAACACTTGTCACACACTCAATTTGCATCCGCCAAATAACTAAAAAAAAAACTTGTAACGTAACTTGTAACCTAGCACCAAAATTAACAGAAATTAAAAAGGAAATGTTTGAGGTAAAAACCTACTTTCTACGTCAGTTGTAGTGTATCGTCGGCTGCTCAATTTTGCATGATACTTCATAATATATTAAATACAGTAAAATGTACATGTACATACTTTTATAAATAAAAATAGCCTAGTTTATAAATCTACCTTAAGTACCTAAGAAACCTATTTTGAGTTTAGGTTACTTCATATTTTCTTTGTACTCTTAATATGTAAGCAGAATCACACACACAAGACACTTTATTGGTTTATATGAACGTATTATATCCAGATTTATATTCGACTACAATATAAGTGATAATTAATGCAGCAAAAAAACATTTCTTTTCTCGGCTTTTCATCGGTTGTCAGTTCTTTGAGCTACGAGTATATGGCCGGGCCATTGCCACTTTAGATTGCTTATCCGTTGGGCTATGTTAGTTGCTCTGGCTGGTTTTTTTGCTAATATATTCATTACGGTGCTATCACGCAAAAAAAAACTGTGAGCAAAGTCTTCGCGATACGAGGGCGACACTGAAAGTTTTTAGAACTGGCCACTTGTAAACGATATAATAAAAAATAAGTTCTAATTTTGAAAATAAAACTCTGCCAATATTATTGTGTATTATGTGTTAAATTGTAAACAAATCACAAATTAATAAAATATTATTAATTTGTCATTTGTTTACGATTTGGTGGCAAATTGAAAATTGTCTATGTCACGTCAGTATGAATTTAACGCGAGATATTCGTACAATGATTTTTTATGACTTTCGATGTCATTTAAGTCAACAAGAAAGTTATAATAGACTTCGATTGGCCTTTCACGATGAAACCCCATCTCGTGCTACTGTTTACAACTGGTTTAATGATTTTAAACGTGGTCGCACTAATCTCATCGATGATCTGCGTGAGGGACGGTCTTCTACGGCGACGACTGAAGATAACATCCGTGTTGTGCGGCGTATGATAGAGACTGACAAAAGAGTGACTTATCAGCAGGTTCGGACAAGCTTAGGCATCGGTATGAGTTCAGTGCACAGAATCCTCCATGAACATTTAGCAGTCAGGAAGCTTTGTGCCCGGTGGATACCTCATAATTTGACAGAGACCCAAAACTCTGTGGTGTTGATTGGTGTTGTGAAATGGTTCAAAGATTTAACGGAGGTGACTCAAATGTTGTGTTCGTCATACTTACTGGTGACGAAAGCTGGATTTATTGTTATGATCCTGAAACTAAGAGACAGTCTGCTGTCTGGTTGTTTCCTTCCGATGAGTTCCCAACTAAAGTGAAGAGAGTTCGAAGCGTAGGAAAAAAAATGGTGGCCTCGTTCTTCGGAGGGACAGGTCATTACGCAACAATTGTTTTAGAGGATCGAAAAACAGTTACTGCAGAGTGGTACACTAACAATTGTCTGCCACTTGTCTTGGAAAAATTTCGGTAGAAACGACCTCGCAGTAGGATCCTCTTTCACCACGACAACGCCTCGTCGCACACCGCCAAGCAAACAATCGACTACTTGGCGACGTCAGACGTGGAATTACTGGGTCACCCGCCCTATAGCCCTATAGTAATAAAAGAAAAACTTCGAAGAAAACGTTTTATGGATGCGGAGGAAGCAGTGACTGCGTTTCAAAATCGGCGGGTGGGCAAAGTGCTTTTCTCAGTGGTTTCATCTGATGCAGTGATGTATTGATGTAAATGGACACTATTTTGAAAAGATATAATAAAACTAGTAACTTGCTAGTTTGTTCAGTTTTTGATTTTCTAAGAACTTTCAGTGTCACCCTCGTAGTTTACCGAGTGATTAAGCTTCTTTATACAAAAAGCAATATCAGGTACCAATTCGCGCACCAACCGTGGTAATGTGATAGGAAGGTGAAATTCACGGTATCATATACATCATGATAATAAAGGTTTAGAGGGAGATAGGGAGGCTGTCCGAGGTCATTTTAGATGTTTTTGTCAATTTATTCATTGAATATTTAACATGACTAAAACTGTTTTATTTTAATTTTTTTCAGATCCGGCAAAAAGGTGTGAATGTTCAAGATATTAGTTTTATGATAGTCTATATTATATTTGTAAATACAAAGTAACAAGCAAAACTAAGTGCTACAGTGTGGAAGGTTGCAGGGGAGGCCATTGTCCTACGTAGGGATCATAATGACGGAGAACTATTTGGATATTAGTTAAATGATTTATTTCATTATTTTAAACTTTCAGAAGATTGAATATTAACTTATTTTTATAAAGATATTTGCTTTGTTTCTTTTATAAACTTTTAATGTTATCATTGTGTTGAAACATTTGGATTTTTTTTATCATAATGAACAGCTTATTCACCTTTCGATCCTGTGTTTTATTGAAACTTAGTTATCTGGCATTCTCGTAATTTTTCACGAGACGCCCGAGTGATGTGAGTGACATAGAAGTATTGATATCTCCAAGCAATTATTGGGGCGGTATCAAATAAAAAATACAGACTTTTATTAAACACATACAATTTTATTAGGAACTTTTTTACCGCACGCGAGTACGGAGAAACTAATAACTAAAAATCAGTATAATACTGAAACGATCATACAAAAAATGCAAAACTTCAAAATAAATGCAGAAATACATCCGTTAAAATAGCATAACGAATTAATACTTTTAAGTACGTTCTTATACGGAATATATTATAACCTTATAATAATATATTAAGTAGGTTCTAAACATTGTAATTTAAAAAAGTTACTTATAAGTTGGAAATTAATCTCTATTATAAATTAAATTACCATCTAACGATAATTAACAACTTAATCTAAAAATATTCTCATATAATACACTTTATTCTACTTTTATAAATACAATCTTAAGAAGTATTATTCAGGTATATCGCTTAGGCGTATTCCGCCTGGGCGACGGTACATTCGCTCGTGCATAGGTAGCTCTCCAATCAAGAATCGGTCGAGAGCCTTTGCAGCCATCTTTGAATGACCAGAACTTCTGTAAGCGGTACTTGCGTCTCTTCCCGCATATTCCAGCATTATATCTGCGCCCCCGGGGTGCTACAATAACATTTATGTTTTAATATTTTTAAACCTTATGTAGTAGAACTATTGTAGCGAACAAAATTGTAAGATCAGGGTTTTAAAACAACATAAGACTGTCATGATAAAAGAAAATTGAGTTTGCTTTTTGGTTATAAATCTTTATAACATTTATTTTATGTACAATGGAAAAAGTATTTAATTAGATTTTTTTAAATGTAACATAGCTATTTTTGGCGGGGTGAATATCGTTCTATATATATAATAAGAACCTCCCCCATAGATTGACACTTAGGAGGGATTTATCTATTTTATGTTTTTTGGCTCCATGGCCTGTGGCTTAGCAATGAGTTGCTGCGCTGGGGGCCGCGGGTTCGAATCCCGCACGGAACAAGTATTTGTATGGCCTACTAATAGTTGTTCCGGGTCTGGATGTTTGTCCTTGTGCAATTTGTGTTTGTAAACTGCCTCCACGATACAGGAGAAAATCCTAGTGTGTGGTATAAAAAAAATTATCATAGTTACCATGCTTGCAGGCGCGTTGGCAACCGCAGTTTTTTATTATTTTAAGTTGTATTATGTTAGCAAGAAGATGCTGCTGTCCGTCTCATATCTCATTTCTCTCAGTCGCCTCTTATTACACCCATGTGACAACTCCATATCATCTCAATAGAGTTGTGGATTCCTTACAAGGCTTTAGTCAGTAGGAACAATATTAAGAAAAATGAAATTATCTCACCTCATCAAGGAATGTGGTAATGTCGTATACGCGGTCGTATATAACGACCCAGCAATCACGAGGGGTGTCATGTTGGGAGACCTCGGCTAAGGACAAGATCCGATCCTTAGCTTCTGCAGTTCCAGGTTCAATGCGAGTCTGCCATTGATTTGTTTTGGCTTCGACGGTCCAAGGGTTTACAAAGCGTAGAGCTGCCATTGTTAGCGCTACTAGGTCCAAGTCTGAAGAGTTTTGATTGCCTTGCAATGGCGATTGTAGATTCAGCTCAGGAGGCGTTTGTACAGTAGCCATTATTTATTGTTTAGTAATAGTCTTGTTGTAACTGTTCTTTTCGATCCTTTTCCTTCAAATGTATATTACTCTAGCTCTTGGTAGTTCTTGCAGATCACTTAACGTAAACGTCTAATTGCACGTTGGATTCACTTGAGCGCCAAAAAACTAGTCCAATAATTTTCTGCAAAAATATAGTAATATAGTTAGGATTTAGTCGTATGATAAAAATCAAAATGTCAGAATGTTTAGAAGTTTTCCTTTTCACAATATTCACATACTATTTTCATGTTACCAAACTAATTAGTTAATTATTATTTAATTTAGTAATATTATTATTTACGTAATTCTTTTATATTATTATTATTTATATGGGGCATGTCTATTGTTTTCCCGTTTGTAAGGGACTTGGGATGCATAAATACGAAAATATATGGACATTATAAGACTAATAATAAAAATAGAAAAAATATGCATTATATAGAATAGAAATGCAATATAATAACAGTAATTAAATAAATAAATAAAACCCAACCAGACAGAAGCCCTAGGGAAGAAGGGGAACAAATATTATTATTATTTTTGGGATATTTCTATAAAATATTTGATCATACTATAATAATAAATAGGATATAATAAAATATAATATACTAAATAGAATAAATATGCAATAAAAATACTTATTTTTTTATTATTATTAGAAGATTCTGTTATAGTAAAGGCTTTTTCGCGTCAAGTACGAATCCTTGAATTCGTTAAATAGAGATCACTCGAGACACTACGATTACAAAACGTATTGAGAGGGTTTACATGCATACCCTAAGGCTATTCGTCTCCAAATTATCTGTTGGTGGTTTATCAGTTGTTTAACAGGCATGAAATAATTTTTATCAGGACGAATTTGCTAATAATTAAGATTGGTGGTACATTATCGCCTATTGACGTATAAAAATGTCGAAAATGATAAATTTGTTGACACTTTATTGACCCGACAATTGTTCGGTCGCCGAGTCACTATCTCAATAGCGGTCGTTTCAACAATAAATACAAAATATATTAAATTCTTCTTGAGAAACTAGAAACTCGAGAAATAGATTGGGTTAAAATCTCTACCGATGTTTATAAACAACATGTGTCTATATATTTATGAGGTCATTAATCAAAGCGATCTCACGAAAACAAATAATATTTACCCTTTAATCAGAGCACTAGATTAGAGGAGCTTATGTTATCTTTGCTGATGCTCGAAACGCGGGGAATGACTGTCGCACCAATTGTCACTACGCCACCACTGTTCGTAATTAATTAAAGAATTCCGGTTTATAGAATAATGCATGAGAGAGTAGAACATTGCCACAAACTAATATTGACTTGACATCTATAACTTTTGATTTGTGATTTGTGAATGAGCGTCGGGGCTCCACACCGTCTCTTTTATAGCCGAGTGGGGCACGCGCCGCGCGATCTGATGTAACTCGTTGCTTATCTTGCCTAGGCGGCCCGTCGCGCGTCGTGCGTCGCGTCGTCTAGCACACCTATTAGTTTTTGAGATCTATTAAAAATAGGTAGTAATAATTTTGCACCACCCTAATTCAAATAACGTAATATGATGTTTGTCTTACGTTTTATTTAAGAATTCAAACAACAGAAACTGGGTAAATATATTATTCAAAAATATCTCGTCCTTTGCATAGAATTACCAAAATGGAAGAGAGGAAAAATAATAGTAACTAATAACAATGATTTTTAGATAAAATTTTAATTAATTCTAACGGCTCGGTATCATTTTTGGTTTCAAAGCTTCTTTTTTGGAAAAAGTAATAACCGATTTATATATAATAGGATGTGACAAGGAATCTCACATCTACCAATCTTAACTCCACGCGGTGTTAACGGAGGAAAATATGGTGATCGACGAAGGGCGAAAAAGTGCCGATCTCAAATTTGAAAATACATTCGGAAATAAAGTACAAAAACTAGCTATCAACGCGGCAAATAAGGTAAAAAAAATTGTACATATAGCAGAGAAACCTTTGGAGGAAATAAAGTAAAATCAATCACCCTGATGATGCCGTACGGCGAAACCGATCGATTTATTTTTAATAAAAATTTAAAAAATATAGTGAAACAAGTATAAATTGTATGAAAATTACTTTTTACACCTATCTTTTAATTGGGGTTGTTTATTGCCGTTCAAAAGCAATAATTGATGACGGACGTTCAGTTGTTTTAATACAACCGAAGATAGGCATTTTTATGCGCAGTGATGAAGTCATATTCGTGTTAATGTATTGATAAGCTTACACATTAAATTATGCAAAGGTCGCTTAATTTTTTCTGTAACAACAAGAAAAAGAGATACCTGTGTAGTTAAAAGAAGCGTTGCAAAAAGCGATCCGATCAAATTTCTAGGAAGGATCATATGTTTTATCAATCATAATAATCATTTGATGTTTTTTTTTATTTGGCTATAGTTTCTAGGGATGTGCAAATGTTATCGCTTAGGTATTAAAATGTTTTCTTCATCTTACGCATTTATACCTAAGATTTAGTTGTGAGTTAATTACGTATAATAATATCAATTACTTACATGTAGGTACCTACACTTATAAATCTCACAAATCAACTCTAAGGCCCGAAAATTCCGAATGGGTCGGCCACACACATACGGAATCCCGTTTTGCCCGCAAAATTTCGAACGGAAAACTACTGTACGTGTGTGACGGGTCCTTGATCTCATATGGACTTGCTGCGATCGGAATTCTGTAACGGAATTTTGATGAATTCCGAAACGGAATTCTGGGGAATTCCGAAACGGAATCGTGAAACGGAATTCTGAAACGGAATCGTGAAACGGAATTCCGTATGTAAGTGGCTGCCAGAGCCAAAAACGTCGCCCTTCTAACCTGACTCCCGCTCTCCCTTATTTTTGCAACTACCTATCTTAAAAATGTAAAATCGGTAAATGTCTTCTATAGTCTTTATATATAAATAAAACATTATACCTAATGTAATTTTTATACTTGTCGCAAAGATGGCAAGTGACGTGTGTGTGTGCTGTGTGCAGATATTCTTAATTTTTAGAACTTTGCTTGAACTAGAATATAATGAAGTTTTCAGTTTGGTAAAGAAAGTCAGTAATTTATATTAAATAACTGACTTTCTTTACCAAATTGCAGCCACTAATATCAGCCATGGTCCCAGGCCTGGCCCTTTCTACGTCTCTGGTAGTACATTGTGGCAACGATTTCTTGCCGACATTAAAAACAAAGAATCAATCAAAGAAATCAGAGATACAGAGACATTTTTTTTTCATTTTCTTTTTTGTTTTCTATGTCCGGTTCTTGCATAACGAATCGAAAGTAGGTCCGGTGTGTCCGATATTCGGGATCGCGTATTGCAAAGGACTTAAGGATTCGAATTCAAGGTCCGACAGGATCTTAAGTAAGAGGAGGTAAGTTAACCGCTAAATTGGCCACTTTCTACGTTGTTGTAGTGGTTTTCTTTTCCTCATCATTCCGTAAAAGTCCAATGGCTTAATCGGCAAGCTTGGTAGATGGAGTGACATTCGCATTACCAGGCGTCTCGCACCTTTAACGCTGCTGTCTATCTTTTCTGGCAATTTCCATAGTCGCCTCTTTAGTCCTATCAAAAGTTAGGAAAAACCATAGAGATTTGCATGGATGTTTGTTGCTAAATTCTTGCAAATTAGTGAATTAAAAAACATGTTTTTCTAACTCAGTCCGGTTCCACATGAAACAAGTTTCTGTTATCTTCATCATAAAGTAGCAATAAAAGAACGTCAATAATAATTGAGTTAACTAATAGGTCACAATTTGATGTTAATTTGTTGCTGGAAAACAGTATAAGGTACACTGAGAGACTCCAAGATGCGGCTAACCAGCAACAAAAACTATGATTGCGTCATGTATATAAAAACTTCGTTTGACGACGTTAGCATGAACCCTGGCTGTCACCAGGTATACTGTTCAGCATTTGATAGGGCTGTCTCTGCCTGCACCCTGCAGTGTTATAGTGTTATCTACTCGTATATAAATAATTAAAAATTAAAAATTTTGTACAACCAAAATTAAGAATAATTCAAAAACTATTGGTCTGACCTTGATCAAATTCATATGGGACCACACGAGAAGTATCAGCTTTGATATAAAAAAACAGACAAGTGCGAGTCGGACTCGCGCACAGAGGGTTCCGAACAAATCCGTAGGTATATAAGTTTAAAATTATTAAAAATATTTTTATTATATGATGTAACTAAAAGTTTATGCTTTTTGCAATTTTCCTTTATCTGTGCTATAATACGTTGCTTCGTACCAAATTTTAAGATTCTGAGTTCACGGGAAGTACCCTGTAGGTTTTGATTCCCTTGCGAATGTCGAAAATTTGCGGCATAAACGGCTGTATCTTTTGATTGCGTTGGCTTAGAAGTTTGATTTTTTCATAGCTCCAAGGGACAGTAGACTTGAGTATTTGATATGATTATTTCAGCTTGATACCTCCACGTGTTCCTGAGTAAAAGTGTCTTGACAGACAGACAGACAGACGGACAACAAAGTGATCCTATAAGGGTTACGTTTTTTCTTTTTGAGGTACGCAACCCTAAAAAAGAATCATCGAAATCAGTTCACCCAGTAAAAAGGTATGAGGTAACACACATAAAAAAATATACAGTCGAATTGTGTACCGTCTTCTTTTTGGAAGTCGGCAGAAAATATAATTAAAAATTAAAAATATTGTACAGCCGACTTCAATATGAGTTATTAAGAATAACTCAAAAACTATTGGTCTGACCTTGATCATATTCTAATGGGACCAGACGAGAAATAGCAGTTTTCAAATGAAAAAAGAATCATCGAAATCGGTTCACCCAGTAAAAAGTTATGAGGTAACACACATAAAAAAAACATACAGTCGAATTGAGTACCGGATCCTTTTTGGAAGTCTGCAGAAAATGATAGAGGCTTGCAGTTGTACGCGCTTCACGGAAAAACTACTGGATA